GGTGGCGGGTCTCCCAGAGTAAGCGAACAATAGACAGGGAGGTTGTCCGTATCCAGGTCTGGAAAAGTAGAAAGAAGCACAGAATGAGCATCACTACATTGGGTTAAATCTAATATTCACCCATTTCTGTATCCCCACTAACAACAACAAGCAGGCAGGATGATGAAGCCGGACTTAAATGTAATCTTGATGTTCATCTACACCAGTGATTCCCAAACTTTTGTCCTTCAGATTTTTGGACTTCAGTTCTCAGAAGCTCCAGCCAGCTTGGCCAACAGTCAGGAATTCTGGAAGCTGATGTCCAAAGCGTCTGGATGACCAAAGTTTGGAAATCACTGATCTATAATGTAGAAATAATGCACTTTCACACCACTTTAAGTGCTGTAGCTCCATTCTACGGAAACCTGAGATTTGTAGGTTTACAAAATCTTCAGCCTTCTCTGCCAAAGAGTACTGGTGCTTCACAAAGCTGCAAATCTCTGGATGCTGTAGGATGGAGCCATGGCAATTAAAGAGGTGTCAAAATGCATCATTTCTACCATGCAGATGCACCCTTGGTTAATGTACTGCTCTTTTGTAACAAAAAAGATGCTCTATTATAAGAGTTTAAAAAGACGTCTGTTGCAAATTTAAAGCCTCTTTTTTATTGTCCTGCTGCCACACTGCAGAATTAATGGCAGCTTGACAACTGCTTTAGCTGTCATGGCTCAATGCTATGGAATCCTGGGATTTGTAGCTTGCTGTAGCACCCTAGAAGGCTGAAAGAGAAAGCTAAATATGTACCTCACAAAACTACGTATCCCAGAATTCCATAGCACAGAGCCACAGCAGTTAAAGTGGTGTCAATGCTAAAATGGGAAAGGTAGAGGGAGCAGAGGAGAGGTATACCACCTTCTCATACTTTACACATAGTGCGCCACTTGGCTTAGACAGAAAGTGATTCTTAAGTTTAGGGTTGACCAGGCAAACAGCTGTTTTAAGTGAAAGCTGCATTGCTTTGCCATATGGCAAGTGTAGTTAGCATTTGATAGTAGGCATCACTTGATGAGGAGCTAAAATGAGAACCTGCATCCACAGGTAGAACAGACAGGAATATTTTATGCTTATTAAAGATGGATGTCTTTGGAGGAAAGAGGTGGGGAAGGGGAGAGAGAAAGGATAAAATGTATGCATGGGTATGTGATTATATAAAGTAAGCCTGCATCCGCACTTCAGGAATAATCCTGTTTGACACCACTTTAACTGCCAAGGCTCAAAGCTATGGGATTCTGGGAATTGTAGTTTGTTGTGGCACCAGAGCTTTCTGAGAGAGAAGGCTAAATATCTCACAAAACTACAAATCCGAAAATTCAATAGCACTGAACAATGTGCGTGAGACCAAGCATTGGGGGATCAAGTTGAATCACTAGAAGAATGAGATGGGAACGAGATTTCTGGATCCACATGATGAACCTTTTGCATGCTCTGCCTTTTCTCCATGTCAGAAAACAGACACGTAGAGCTGGGGAAACGGACGCCTGTCAGATGAATATAAATAGTAGGTTTTATTTTTTTAAAACCCACCCACAGTGCACATACAACACATGTCAAATGAAGAAAGCAGAGATTCATTCTCCTGGAACAAACAAATGTTTGGATCAACATGAAGAAAAAAAGAGAGGCAGAGAGACTAAAGTTGTCTTATTCTCTTCTTCTTTCTTCCTCCAATTCCTACAACCTGCTCACCCCCAGACTCCTTCTTCTAATGTTCAATTTTTCAACTGTCTCAAATTGGCAGAGACAATCTCAATCAATCCTCTGCCATCCCATTTTCCCAGCTTCTTTTAAAGTGTCCCAGTTTCTTTCTTCCTCCCACTCTCCCCCTTCATTCTCAACTTACTCGAATTGCTGCAAAATGAGCTCCGAGTTGGTATTCAACTAGCTCAGTGGGAAGAAAAAAGGCAGAATCTTTCCCTTCCCAGTAGGCTCAGGAAAAAACAAGCTTCTGCAGCCTCTCTTAGTTTGTGTGTTCTTCCTCATTAATAACTTTTGCCATTTTGAAAACTCTCTGAGGTTACTTCACCAAAGGGGATCTGTGAAATGTTGGTGGGTATGATACCATATTGCCACTGTTCAGTGTAAACAAGCAGCAACTTTTCTTTGGCCTGACCACACTTATCAAACATGTGTAGTATTTATAGGGTTATAAAATGTTTTCTGTTTTAGGAAAATTATGGGAAACAAGGAGCTGAGAGCATGTAGCAGGTGAGGAAGGTAAGGAGATTACTAGGCTGTGTTTCCTATTTTATAGTGAAAAGCAAGAGCCAGGGTGGCATAGTGGTTTGAAGTGTTGGGCTATGACTCTGGAGACCAGGGTTTGATTCCACGCTAAGCCATGAAAACCCACTGGGTGACCTTGGGCAAGTCACACTCTCTCAACCTCGGGGGAAGCCCAGAGCAAACCTCCTCTGAACAAATCTTGCCAAGAAAACCCCATGATAACTTTGCCTTTGGGTCACCATATGTTGGAAACGAAGGTACACAACCACAACAATACTGTTGGTCCTCCGTTTTCAGGGGGGATCCATTCCAGGGGCCCTGTGAAAATGGGGACTCGCTGATATTTGAGCCCCAACATAGTTTGGAAAATGCCAAGGAGTGGTTTGGATTTGGGTACCCATTGCTAGAAACAGGAGGAGCTGAGACCCCCAATTCCATTCCTTGTCATTGTCAGCTGGTGGCTTGAACTGCATTCCCCTCTTCCTAGCATCTTTAAGATATGTAGGACTACAGTTCCCATCATCCCAGTGCTTGGCTGGAGGGGGATCAGGGTTGCCCTTGAAAACAACTGGAGGGCATTAGATTGAAGGCTTGTGTCAGGCTAAGGTATTATAAACCGTCTATAGATAAATTGAAGATATCCCTGGCCAAATTGTGCTTCTCAGAGTGTATCCCTAGCACAAAGTTACAGCAGTTTGATGCCACTTTAATTGCCATGAATCCATCCTGAAAAATCTTGAAATTACCCATTTGATAAGGTACTTCTCTGCTAGAGAGCTCTAGTTCACGCTTCTGAACTACCGTTCCCAAGATACCCTAAGAAGAGGGCCTGAATATTAAATCAGGACTGCATCCACATTGCAGAAATGATCCAGTTTGACACCACATTAACTACCCTGGCTCAATGCTAAAGAACTCAAGGAATTTTAGTTTCATGAGACATTTAGCCTTCTCTGTCAGAGAGCTCTGGTGCTGCAAGAAACTACAATTCCCAGAATTCCGTAGCACTGAGTCATAGCAGTTAAAGTGGTGTCAAACTGGATTGTTTCTGTAGTGCAGATGCAGCCCAGGTTACCTTGGGAACTGTAGTTTGGGAGAATTTGCAGAACTAAGCTTGTTAGCACAATTCGAAGTACCTCACCAAACTACATGTTCCAGAATTGACCTGATTTAATTCAATTAAGAATAATTGGGGGTGGGTTTTATGGAGGGGCGGTCTGCTGTTGTGTACCTCCAAGTCATTTTTGACTTATGGTGACCCTAAGGCAATCCTATCATACGGTTTCCTCGGCAGGTTTCTTCAGAGCGGGTTTGCCACTGCCATCCTGAGGCTGAGAGAGCGTGACTTGCCCAAGGTCACCCAGTGGGGCTTTATGCTCAAGCGAGGAATCGAACCCTGGTCTGCAGAGTCATAGTCCAAATTTCTTGACTTACTTCCCCAAAGTAAGGTTATTCCACTTCAGGGTGGGAAGGAGAATCTGTAACTCTCTGGGGTGGGAGAATTTGTAACCCAGCTGCAAGGGGGTTGCAATTCCCATCATCCTGGTTGTTCCCGAGGAAAGCTGGAATCCAGCATCCGGAGAGCCCTAATGGTGTGGACTGCCTCGCGTGAAGAACAGGAAAGCCACCTTCTCTCCATCCGGGACTGGTGCTTCCAACTGGCATCCCGCCTCGGCCCAGTGAGGGGGAACTGGCGGGGATGGGGAGCAGGAAGAAGGCCAGAAAACACCCCCCTTTCTTCCCCACATCTTCCAGAGAAATACTTTTGGACAACTTTTTGGCAAGGGAAAAGGGATTTAGAAAACTTCCCCGGACCTTGGCCTAGGCCTTCCAAGGCCTCCACCCTACTTTGTGGGCCAGAGACAACCCCAGGATGGAGTTGGGGG